CTGATTCGCTGTGGCAAATTATCTATTAGCTGTCATTTTCCATGGTGGATAACAAAACACTAACTCCTCATGGGAAGTGACAGCTAGGTATCTCAATTTTCAAAACAGTGGTATGTAGTCATCTGCCATTTTTATGTGATAAAAGTGTGATTAAAAAATTCTCCAAAATATTACAACTTTCTTCAAAGAGCCTTTTCCGTAATAAATGCCTCTGTGCAGTGTGGGAAAATATTTACGAAATCAGTATTCCCCCTACATGATATTGGGTGACAGGCCGCCATTTGTCACCGTAAATCAGATACATTTTCCAATTTCTTGTTATTCAACTTATTCTGAATATAAATTAAAAATGCTCTTTGAAAAAATTAAGAATTTCTTCTACTTTTTTTTGATTATTCATTAATAATTTTCAAAACTTCTGCATGATGCAGAACTCAATTGACAATTTCAGATGATGAAAGATGAAAAAAAAACATCCAGATAACGTTCGAAAGATAGTACACCCGGGCCTTGAAAAAAATAATAAAATTGGAAGAACGGAAAAAGAATTGGTTCAGATTTTTTTTTGAAAAACGCACCTGCAGATGTAGATAATTCCCCAAAAAATCGTGATAAATAAAAATAAAAACGTGATAACAGACATTTCATACCAGTGTAAATCAACCGACAAATATTACGTGGGGATTACATACACGCGTTACGCCTGGGGGTTATAAAGAATGATATAACGGGGCGACACATGCCTTCACGTGTGAATTACACCCGCACTATACCAGATTTATTTATTTTATTCTTATCCTCCTGGCTGACATTGCACTGGTGAATGAAGAATTGTGGGGTTTCATTCCTTGTATTACGCGTTTTTTTTCATATTTTACATTCAAAAAGTAATATTGAATGCCAACGCACAGGCACACAGTTTCATTGAGATTCATTCCCATAATAAAAATGTATCATACGATTTTTTTAAATCAGAAAATATATTTCAAATAAGTTACAATGAAATTTTTTATATAAATAACGAAATGATCACTAGAACACTATTATTATTTCTTTTTATTAAAAATTTTAATTGAAAATAAATTGACTGCAATATTGAAATGAAAAAGAAATTGAATGATATAAACAAAATAATAATGACAATTGAATAACAATCATTTTAATTTCAATAGTTTTAATCATTTGAGGGAATTTTGATTTTTTAAAAATAAAAATAGTAAATATTTAATGTCAATTTTAACATAATAATTGAAATGAAAACAAAAATTGAATTTAAAAAATCAATTGATTTTTTCATTCGTAAAAACGAGGTTAATTCTATTTTTATTTTTTAATTCCATTCATTAAAAATTGTTGTCGTGGTGGTGCAGAAAAACAACCAAAAAAATAGTGACTCCTGGATGAAGCCAATCGTAGTAAATAGAAATAAATTAACTGAAATATTATATTTTAATGAGAAAAAAAATTGAGTATTTGAAAATAATAATAATAATAATAATAATAATAATAATAATAATAATAATTGAACAATAATTATTTTAGGTTCGATAATTTTAAACCTTTAAGAGAATTCCACTTTTCATTCATATTTGATGAAAATTAAACATGTTTAATGTTAAATTTAACATAATAATTGAAATAAGAACCAACATTGAAATGAAAAAAAAATGAATAATTGAAAATCATAATAATAATAATGATAATAATAATTGAACAAGTATCATTTTAGTTTCAATAATTCCAATTCTTTGAGAGAATTCCAATTTTCATTTTTATTCAATGAAAATAAAAAAATGTTTAATGTCAATTGTGCCATAATCATTGAAATAAAAAGAAAAATCGAAATGAAAAAATCAATTGATTTGTTCTTTCTAAAAATGAAATTAGTTCTATTTTATTATGAATTTAATTCTATTTTTAATTTTCGATTCTATTGATTAAAAAAGAATCATAAACAATTTTATAATTTTTGTCCGTTATTTTCAACAATGACTTTTCGATAATAAAAGAGTTCTTGAGAAAGAATTCGGCAACATGATCCTCACCTAGCATTCGTGGATATTGTTGTCCCTGTGGTGAGGAAAAAAAGTTCAACAAAAAATAGTGACTCCTGGATGAAGCCAATCGCCTTGTAACTGACCAAGTGTCTCCACGTGGGGTCGACATTTCTGTTCCACTCCCCTCAATTTTTCCAGCATGTTGAAAAGCTGAAGTTTTCAAGAGGGTTTGCGAAAAAAAAAATTGTATCTCGGAATCTGACGTCTGACCGCAACGGTCCTTCATATTTTCGTTGGGGGTGACGTTTCGGAGGGGTCATAGACTGAAGAGAGAGGGAGAGAGAGTGAATAAAAAATTGGGAGTATGAAACAAGCAGAAACTTCAATTTTTTTTGCAGTTCAAGGTAATATGAGAACCACAAATGAGGCTGTGTGAACCGATTTTTTACATTGTTCAGAATTCTGTTATGGTTTTCAACAGATTTTCGCAGAATATTAGATATTTAATTTGTTCTTCAAGACAATAGAACAAATCCAATTGCATTTTGATCCATAAATAATAATTTTAGGGATTCTATAAGAAAATTTCGTACTTTTTATTTTAGGAAAGAAATTAGTGAACACGTGAGAAATTCCCAAATTTATAATTTCGTTTAATTCATGAATAAATCGTCTAGGGAGGGGTAATGACGTCACAGCACCGTAAACTTTGCGATTAACTCACTACGAGGCGCCATTTGCGCTCCAGTGATGAGAGTAAAGTGAGATTAATCATCGAAGATGATCAATCATTTTGCTATCCATTCATTAAGTTATATCCTTTTGTAAATTATTTATTTATAATCATTTTCACTGCAAAAAGCAATACGACCGATGAGACACATGCCCTATTTATCAGCTGTTAAATTTTCACATTACAATAAATGATTTGCTCATGTTCCAATTCCTACGCTCACTGAATAAGATTTTAATCATATTTACAATTAAATTCCTTCAAGAACACACTTTAGAGTGTGAATTTCTGGAATTCAATGTTTGTTGATACTCTGGTAAAACTGCGTGGCCACACTGTTATCAATTTTTAGTTAGTTCACACGGTAATTCAATTAATCTGTTGTTTATCTCATCAATATAATTCCGTGCTTAGAATATTGTCATCTCGTGTTATCAGTACCAAATTAAAAATTAAAACTTCATTTGGAATATTGAGTCACAGCTTCTTTTTATTCATATCAGAAATTTTGTATTTGGATACTAATATTATTTGTTCAAAGTGAAAAAATCGATCATCATTTTCACTATATTGCATTCAGATTCTCCTATCCTTAACGTCAAAAATGTGAGATAATCTCATAATTCTAGCTATTAATTCTGATCAACTTTGTTCGAAGAAAGCCTTCGTAAACGTAATATTAAGAAAGTAGAATTATTCTCTTTTCCTCTGACCTAAATGATTTGGACAATTATGATTCGTTTATTCATGTTTCATAGAATGGTATTCAATTCTCTTTTGTTTGTCAGGCGGGCTTCATGAAAATTCGACGCAAGACGATTGCACCCATGAGAACCGCCTTACTCTCTCCATTCGTTCGCGATATTGCCCATGCGTATAGTGATGCCGCGAGACGCGAGAAAAACGAGACAAGACGAGACGATCGAGACGAGCGACATGACGAGAAGAGTCATTCGAGACAATGACAGAAACGAGACTGTGTATTTTTTTTGTGCAAATTTGATTATAGAGACGAGATGAAGTGCGACGAGAGGATCTCTTAATTCTTGACGAGACGAGAGAAGAAATTGCTCTCGTATTTTGACACGAGACGAGACAATGGTTTCCTGACAACGATATGAGACGAGACGAGAGAATCTCTCAATTCTCGACGAGACGAGAGAAGAAATTGCTCGCGTATTTCGATACGAGACGAGACGAGACAATGGTTTCCTGACAACGATATGAGACGAGACGAGACGAGAGAATCTCTCAATTCTCGACGAGACGAGAGAAGAAATTGCTCGCGTATTTCGATACGAGACGAGACGAGACAATGGTTTCCTGACAACGATATGAGACGAGACGAGAGAATCTCTCAATTCTCGACGAGACGAGAGAAGAAATTGCTCTCGTATTCCGATACGAGACGAGACGAGACAATGGTTTCCTGACAACGAGACGAGAAACTACATCTTCTCGTCTCGTCTTGTCTCGTCCCGCGGCATCACTGCCCACGCGTTTTATTCACAAAGCAACTTACGAAATCGTGACAGCCGTCATAAGCGTCTCGTCATGTCTCACAACCGTCATATGACGGCTCACCCGACGCGTCCGCATCTCCAGACCCTCTCTGCCCCCGGGAATCGCGTCCCAAGAACCCCATCAACCTGCACCCCCTCCCCGCCCCCGAAAAATGCGATTCACCCGTCCCCCCCTCCCAGCCCATCCCTCTCTCATCCCTCTCCCGCATCCGTCCCATCCCTCGTGATGCTGCGGTCTCCGCTGTACCCCCCGCGGCACCTCGAGGGGGGGATAGTCCAGCGGAATACGGGGTGGCTCCGCCTGCGGGCCAACCAGAATCCCGGAGCAGACGTCATCGCCACACCCCATCCACTGGATCGTCCCTGATTCTGCTCCCACGGGAGCCCACCAGTGCCATCCTCTTCTCAACTGATTCCTAGGATCACTCTAGTCTGCCAAGAGCCAGCTGACACGGCGCAGCTCCACTCGTCTCTATCTAAGAACCCACACCACCAGTAGTTTTTTTTTCCCAACCGCGGCCCGAGGCACCTCCGGGACATTTTAACTCGCGAATTCTTCTGCGCACTCCCTCTCGCCCTCCCGAGTGACGTTTCACCCCCCCACCCCCCCGCAACTCCGAGGGCTGGCGGAGGAGCGCCACAGAGTGAATATTGTGATTATGAGGTTTTTTGTGATGAATTTTGATGATTTTTTCGTGGTGGTTTGACCCATTCGCGACGGGGTTGTGATGTGCTTGTGAGGTTTGAGGAATCGCGAGGACATCGACATGAGTTGTCTCGATCTCAGCGTTAGGGAGACATGCCACAGTGGTAAGCGATTTTCTTGTCATTTTCGCGGGGAAAATTCACGTTTTTTTAGCATTACAGAACAGTGTTTACATTTCGTGAATGTTATTCATTAATTTCCCTGGCGATTACGGATTCTAGTGGTGGAAAAAAAATTTGGATTTCATTTTTTGTAATTTTTGAGTTTCAAACTCGAAATTTCAATTTTTGAAAAATCAAAATTTGGGAATTGGGAATCGGTTGACAGTAGGAGGATTGGATAGCCAGGGAAATTTCCGTCGGAAAACACAATATGACGATCCGTTTTGCCCCGGCAGTTTCGAAGATATGAGTGAAAATCGGTTTTACTCTCTGAAGCTAGTTTTTATCAGTTTAAGGGAGGTAGCGGGGCAAAATGGGTTCAGCACCAGTGTTTTTTAACGAGAAATTCCCGAGCTTTTTGATGGTGTTGATTTTATTCCGCTATCTGTTATCAGTGTCAAGAAATCCGTAAAAAACTTCATTTTTCGATCGTTTGAGGGCAGTATTTACTCTTCGTTAATTTTAATTATCAATTTCCCTAATATTTTCGCATTGATTACGGAGTCTGGTGCTGTAAATGATTTTTTGGATTTAATTTTTTGTGATTTTTGAGTTTTAAACTCGAAATTTCAATTTTTGAAAAATCAAAATATGGGAATTGGCGGTTGACAGTAGGGTGATTGGATAGCCAGGGAAATTTCAGCTGGAAAAGACAATATGACGATCCTTTTTGCCCCAGTAGTTTCGGAGATAACAGTAAAATACTATTGTACCCTCTGAATCTAGTTTTTATCAGTTTAAGGGAGGTAGCGGGGCAAAATGGGTTCAACACCAATGTTTTTCGACGGGAATTTACCGAGCTTTCTAATGGTGTTGATTTTATTTGGCTATCTGTTATCAGTATCAAGATATCTGTGAAAAACTTCACTCGGTAAGCGACTTCTTCATGATTTTCCGGTGGAAATGTCCATTTTCGAAGGCTGGAGGGCAGTGTTTACTCCTTTTGAACGTTATTCATGAATATTCCTGGTATCTTCACGGTGATTATGAATTCTAGTGGCGCAAATAATTTTTTGGATTCAATTTTTTGTAATTTTCGAGTTTTAAACTCGAAATGTGAATTTTCGAAAAATAAAAATTTGGGAATTTGCAGTTGACAATAGGATAATTGTATAGCCAGGGAAATTTCGGCTGGAAAACACAATATAACGACCCATTTTGCCCCAGTAGTTTCGAAGAAAACAGTAAGAAACTATTTTACCCTCTGAATCTAGTTTTTATCAGTTACAGGGAAGTAGCGGGGCAAAATGGGTTCAAAACCAGTGTTTTTTAACGAGAATTTTCGGAGCTCTTTGATGATGCTGATTTCATTCTGCTATCTCTTGTCACTCCCGAGTTATCCCCAAAAAACCTCATTTGATAAAAAACGAAATTAGTTTGCGAGCGGAAAAAATGCACTCGGAGTCCGTGAAATTGATTGATTTCCCTGTTTTGACGCATGTGGACTGTTATTGACCCTCCCAGTCATCCCAGAGACCTCGTCAACCAATGATCACCCGGGATAGCGCGGGTATTTAGGAAATATTCCGCGTATCACCCAGGACGTCCTGTGGTCACTCACTGCGGTTTAGTTACGTTCGTGTGAAACCCACAGACTGCAGTATCAGTGCTTTCGTCTTCCGACACCTAGTCTCTCCTAATTATTCGCTTAATTACTGGAGACCGGGTTTCCCGGGGGTCAGTTGTACCGGAGGAGGACGACAGATTAGATCATGGGTGGAAAAATTGGAGGACAATCGCGCTTATTACGCCATAAAAACATTTCTCGTGATAACAAAGTAGTAGTGATGATGATAATAATGATGACGACCTGTTTTGCTCCATCAATCTCAATTTTCTAGCGAAATAGGATTTTATTATGATTTTTTTTAGACAGTAAGGCGGTTTTCATGAGGACAATCGTCTTGCGTCGAATTTTCATGAAGCCCGCCCAAAAAACGAAAGAGAATTGAATACCATTCTATGAAACATGAATAAACGAGTCATAATTGTCCAAATCATTTAGGTCAGAGGAAAATAGGATAATTCTACTTTCTTAATATTGCGTTTACAAAGTTTTCTTCGAACAAAGTTGATTAGAATTAATAGCTAGAATAATGAGATTATCTTACATTTTTGACGTTAAGGATAGGAGAATCTGAATGCAATCAAGTGAAAATGATGATCGATTTTTTTACTTCGAACAAATAATATTAATATCCAAATACAAAATTTCTGATATGAATAAAAAGAAGCTGTGATTCAATATTCCAAATGAAGTTTTAATTTTAATTTGGTGCTGATAACACGAGATGAGAATATTCTAAGCACGGAATTATATTGATGAGATGAACAACAGATTAACTGAATTACCGTGTGAACTAACTAAAAATTGATAACAGCGTGGCCACGCTCTTTTACCAGAGTATCAACAAACATTGAATTCCAGAAACTCATACTCTAAAATGTGTTCTAGAAGGAATTGAATTGTAATTATGATTAAAATCGTATTCAGTGAGGATAGGAATTAGAGCATGAGCAAATCGTTTAATGTAATTTGAAAATCAAACAGCTGATAAATTGGGGCATATGATTCTCATCGGTCGTATTGTTTTTTGCAATGAGAATGATTATAAACAATTAATTAAAAAAGGAATATTGAATAGTAGAGAAAATTTTCCACTTCGATTGGTTGAAATTCTCTCGCATCACTTGAAAAGTTGAAGTGCTTCTCACACGACTGATCGATTAAACAAACAGGGCCCTTTGGCATTCACCGAGGACAGGGAATGAGGATGATCGTAAAAATGAAGACAGTAATCTCACGGAGGGTGTCGTTGAACATGAACACTGGACGATATCCCTCGATACTTGACGCCTGTGTTGATATCGTAAAATGCGTGTAAGGGAGCTACCGAGATTGTCCAAGTGGCTCGTGTTTTTTCAGTTATGCCACGAGTGGCCTGCGATGTGCCCTAAGGGAAAAACCAGTGACTAGGATTTTTTACTATGAGACGCCCGATGAAATGATAGTGAAGCTAAATAAAGAATTGTGGGAAAGACAGAGATTACGGGAAGTTTTTCGTTTGGAAATTCATTCATAAATTTATTGCCGGATGTTGGAAACTGATGGGGCACAATGGGATGACATCTCATTATGAGATTTCCATTAAAAAATTCTCAGATAGTTTAGTGTACCAATTTTTTAACATGAATGTCGGAGAAAATTAAATTGAGATTTAAAGAAAATATCAAAAATTAAATTTCTAATTATTTCTAATTAGTTCTAATTTCCAATTATAATTTCTAATTATATAAATATTTTACAGAAAAATTATTGAATAAGCTTTAGATATGGCGTTTTCAATTGTTTTCTTTTCGCGATTTTTTTATCGAGTCATGGAAATTTTTATTAAACAACTAAATTTTCATGTTTTACAATGTTGAAAAAATTATTTCATTGAGAATTCAACACGTATTAAGGATGTTCGTTAAGAAAGCAAAAATCCGCCGCAAATCACTCTCTTTTTGAAAATTAATATCTCCTCTCTCACTCGGGCTGGAGGAATGAAAATGATGGCAATCGATTGGGCATTTAATGCACAATGATCTGAAAAAAATTGTTCCTCTATCATCATGCCCGGGTGAGGCAACTCGCAATAAATTTCACCGCGGTGTAAGAGCCATTTGGTTGCTACATGCAATGTGACGCTAAAAATCAGAGTCAACCTAAAAAATTCATATCTCCACTCTCATTCAATATCGAGGGATGAAATTGATTGGAATCAATTAAACATTTAATGCCATCATCCTTCCGCCTTAAATGGGAAAGAGGAAATGATTTCTCTATCGGGGAATAGCGTTTGATTGGCTGTCGTTTCTTTCCTTGATATCTCATAAACAAAGCGTCGGAGACAAAAAATTCATTAGTAGCTTGGGGGAGTTAGTTGGAGATGAAAAGTCTAGTATAATTTTTGTCTCCGGCGCTTTGTTAAGGAGTTATTCGTTAACAAAGCAAAAATCCACCGCAAATCACCCTCTTTTTGAAAATTAATATCTCCTCTCTCACTTGGGCTGGAGGAATGAAAATGATGGCAATCGATTGGGCATTTAATGCACAATGATCTGAAAAAAATTGTTCCTCCATCATCATGCCCGGGTGAGGCAACTCGCAATAAATTTCACCGCGGTGTAAGAGCCATTTGGTTGCTACATGCAATGTGACGCTAAAAATCAGAGTCAACCTAAAAAATTCATATCTCCACTCTCATTCAATATCGAGGGATGAAATTGATTGGAATCAATTAGACATTTAATGCCATCATCCTTCCGCCTTAAATGGGAAAGAGGAAATGATTTCTCTATCGGGGAATAGCGTTTGATTGGCTGTCGTTTCTTTCCTTGATAACTCATAAACAAAGCGTCGGAAACAAAAAATCCATTACAGTTTTCGACTCTCAATAACTAAATAAAAAATAGCATAGCGCCTCCGACGTGAAATCGTGTGATGATATATCCCATATCAATTCGAAGATCTCAATTAGATCATCAGAGCGACCCCCAGCGCTGACTCACCACCGAGACATAAACAGAGAAATAAATTCGTCGATCATCGAGATTATTCTTTCACAATCTCCAAAACCTAAATTTATCACTTCTAAATCATCCTCCGATAACGTCCCAATTGCGCGGCTAATCCAAACACTCATCGAACCCCGAAAAGACGAAACGCCGCCACTCAATAAAACTTATTACCTTCTTGTTAAACACATCATTCTCCGTTATCACTCGCCTTCCCACAAGGAATCCCCGATGGATCCCTATCTCGCGGACCTGTCGTATTCGTGAGAAACCGTGGAGACCGCAGGGCGCGATATGAAATGCACTTGTGTGTGCCTAGGATAGTCCCATGTCGTAAACTCAAAGCCCAGGAACTGCAAACAATGCGTGCGGCACGATAAAGCGGACGCTCATAGTTTTTTCAGTATTTTTTTTTCTCTTTTTAGTTCACTCTCACTGCGAATTTCCACCATTTTTCCTTAAATCTAGCTGTTATCACTGGCTCAACCGCGAAGCTTCTGTTAATGAATGGATATGGAGAAACTATTTCGCGTTGCAATGAAACATTTAAATAATTTTTTTTTATTGACAGACGGTAATAAAACAATTCAGTGGCCAAGCGGTGAAAGGATTCACGTCGACTTCGCTTTTAGCTGCTTTCATCGCCAGAAGTCGATTTGATTTTTTATAATATAAAGAGATTTTCTTCTTTTATTTTTTCATGTCATAGTGCTATCATCAATTGAAATGTCATCGAAATTTTCCGTATTATTTCGTTCTGTCAAATAATTCTACATTCAGACACTCTCAAGACTCGAATTCGTTTTCAGTCCGGGTTTAATCAAGTTTCAATCAAGGTTTAATCAGTGTATAGCCGGGATTTAATCAGGGTTTATTCAGGATTTAGCCAGAGTTTAACCCAGGTTCTATCAGAAGTTAGTCGGAACCATGAATCAATATGAATAAGTATTCAACATAATAAACTGCTACCTGAGTTTAATAGAGATAGAGATTTTGATACAAAAAACTCATGACGGTATTGTGTAACTTGATAAGCAATGATGCTGTTCTCACCATTTTTCAAATTGATTAAAAAGCCATTGAAATGTACTTTTCAAGCCCTGATTTAATTGCTATTACTGATGATTCTTTCAGTAATCATGAAAAAACCCACTTTCTCTTTCAAATCGCATAAACAATGTGCTGTAACGCTACAACCAATCGTGCGACCCCCGTCATATTCTGATAGAATCGAGAGGGTATTGTTATCAATTTTTTGAGCCATGACTAATTTTTTTTTATGACAATTTTTTAAGTGATCTTTGACAAATCGATTTCTGAAAAAATATCAATTTCTTCGAATTTGTCTGAAAAATTGAATTTTAATTGGTGTTAATGAATAGAACTTTATATTCATGAAAGTTTATGTTCATGAACAGAATCATGAAATTCGATTGATCCTTACGAGAAAATTTCGAAAAAACCAAAAATTAATAAAATAACTTTAGACCATATTTGGTTAGCCTAACACAAAAGAAGGAAATTTCAATTTGAGTGAAAACGTCTTTCATAAAATGGAAATCACAAAAACACACCAGAGTAGTCCATTCTATTTAATTAGTCTGAAAAACGTAATTGAAAAATTCCGTCGATCATTAAAATATCATTTCCACTGTATTTTGGGATCTAATGGGGCGAAATGGGTTGTCATATTATGCCTCCAATCGAAATTTTATGGGCTCCATCCAATGACACTATTAGCATTGATCTATTTCTGATGTCAGTACTAGAGGATTGAGTAGATTGAACCGTATCCAGTATTTGACCTGTTCTTCTTCGAATTCGTTGCAGGTAGCAGTGACGAGGGTGAAACAGCAATCACTGGTGCCGCAGGGGGCACTGGTGAGGTCACAGAGGGACCAGAAATGGAGGAGTGCGTGAGGTCCTCGAGTGGCAACAGCAACTCATCGAATTATCACCTGAGGCAAACATCGACCTTCGATTTTCCTCAGATCATGGATATGCAGTCGCACGACAGAAATGAAGACACCAAGTCCAGGGATTTCTGGGAGCGTATGGCGGATCAGAAGGACTTCAGGTCGAGGGACAGTTACATCAGTGATTATCGTAAGTATTCAATTGAAAATAGTTCTGTTCCAAAATCATAACATAAAACTTTTTCTAATTATGTGATTATCTCGAGAATGAAAGCTTTGAGCAGAAAATATCACTGAACCTTTTTTATAGAGAATTGAATTTCTAACAAAAAATGTCTTCTCACATTTTGTCCTGAAACCACTCGTTAACGTGATAATCCCGCATCAAACTGAACTGTTCAAGTTTTTGTAATTTTTTTCAATTCCAAAATCATGACATAACACTTTGTCTAGTAATGTGATTATCTCGAGAATGGAAGCTTTGAGGAGAAAATGTCACTAATCCTTTTTTATAGAGAATTAAATTTCCAACAAAAAACGTTTTCTCACATTTTGTCCTGAAACCACTCGTTAACGTGATAATCCCCCATCAAACTCAACTGTTCACGGTTTTCTATTTTTCGCATCATGATTTTTGCATGGATTTGGGGATATTTCGACAATTTTAGCATTTTTGTTATTTTTCTTTCTCGCGGGATGGCAGAAGACACAATAAAGGAAGAGCCGAAGGACCCAGAAGACCATAAAGACCCCTCAACAGAGTGGCTGTCACCAGTGCCAGAGGTTGAGGTTGGAAGCACTCTGAATGAGGGACCCCATGTTCGAGCGAGGAAGGATATCCCTAGGGGCGCCAGGTTCGGCCCCTTCCTGGGAAAGTGGACCATTAACCCGTACAACCCTAGATACGCGTGGGAGGTGAGTCCAACCTCAACAAAAATTTTTTTTCAGTTTTGCATGAAAAAACTAGAGTTTCGAAAATTGATATTCGTTTAAAATAGGGGTTTTCCTGACGTATTGAATTTCTTCTAGTTCAACTAATCCATTTCAATAATTCCACCGTTGAAAAATTGGTGGGAAATTGCTTTCGTCACAGCATAGTCAATATATTTTTACTAATAAATTAGCAAATTGGTTTGGAATGCAATTTCTGTGATAATGTATTTTAAATTGAATTCAATGATTCATTGAGGTCAACATTGCTGCAACGCTGGCTGCCAACATTGACCCAACATTGTGCCAACGTTGGTTGCCCACATCGTCCCAACGTTGGCGACCAACATCGTCCCAATGTTGACGGCCAAAATTTCCCCAACATTGGCCCAACATTGGCCGCCCACGTTGCCTCAATGCTGGCAGCCAACATTGCCCCAACGTTGGTAGCCAACATTGTCCCAACGTTGGTAGGCAACATTGTCCCAACGTTGACAACCAATATTGGGCCGACGTTGGCTGCCAACATAGTTTCAACGTTGGCCGCCAACATTGCACCAACATTGGCCGAAAACATGACCCCAACGTTAATTTTTTTTACCTTTCCCTGAATATTGGTTTAAAAATGACTTTTTTCATCAACAAATGATGCAAACAATCTCATGATCGAACTCAGTTAAGATGGTATTGGGAAGAATATTTTAAACTGACAATATGAAATTTTAATAGGGACATTTCATACCATTTTTACACTTTTTGTGCGATTCTTCATGTCCAATTACGTCTAAATTCAAGGTAAAATGTTCAAAATCTAGAACAAAACGATAATTTTTCCATGAAAAAGAAGAAAAATGATCAAATAACTAAACAACAATGAAAAAAAATGAAAATAAAATAATTTCAATCTGAAATAAGTGAGAAATCAATCCGCGATGAATGATGTCATGAGAAAATTCGTTTTTTATCACTTCGCCTCGACAAAAAAAACACACAGAACATTAATCCAAAAGCGATTGAGTCCTTATCGAGCATCATCGTGACTGGGGCAACCGTTTTGAAAGATGATCGATCTGTTTATTGGCTCTCACTGGAAAGATGGTAGTTGGGACAGAGGCCAATCGATGTTAGGTATATACGAGACGCATGTCCCATGCAAGTGGGAAGTTTTTAATCCTCATGGCATTATCCTGGCAGATGCCGGCGAAGGGAGACACTCAACCACACCTGGGCTCCACCGTTCTCTAGGTGTCATCCGTGTCTGACGGATCTGTCAATTGCCACTCGGACACCTACCCGATACTCAACCCGAATAGTTTTGCTGCAGAATAAACAGACGAGTGAAACGGGGGGGTAGAGAGAGAGAGAGAAAGGGAGTGAGAGAGAATTGGATTGAGGAAAATTTTTCTGAATGAGTGAATCTCTTCTTGCATTCATTTTTTAGGGAAAAGGCATTGAAAATTTGATATTACTAGCGTTCCCTTTGCTGTTGGACTCGGTATTCTTTTTTTCAATTAATTGTTTATAATCATTCTCATTGCAAAAACAATACGACCCATGAGAATCATGTCCCAATTTATCAGCTGCTAAATTTTCATATGACAATAAATGATTTGCTCATGCTGTAATTCCTATGCTCCCTGAATGAGATTTTAATCACAATTACAATTCAATTCCTTCTAGAACACACTTTAGAGTGTGAATTTCTGGAATTCAATGTTTGTTGATACTCTGGTAAAAGTGCGTGACCACACTGTTATCAATTTTTAGTTAGTTCACACGGTAATTCAATTAATCTGTTGTTCATCTCATCAATATAATTCCGTGCTTAGAATATTGTCATCTCGTGTTTTCAGCACCAAATTAAAAATTAAAACTTCATTTGGAATATTGAGTCACAGCTTCTTTTTATTCACATCAGAAATTTTGTATTTGGATATTAATATTATTTGTTGAAAGTGAAAGAATCGATCATCATTTTCACTATATTGCATTCAGATTCTCCTATCCTTAACGTCAAAAATGTGAGATAATCTCATAATTCTAGCTATTAATTCTAATCAACTTTGTTCGAAGAAAACCTTAGTAAACGCAGTATTAAGAAAGTTGAATTATTCTATTTTCCTCTGACCTAAATCATTTGGAAAATTATGATTCGTTTATTCATGTTTCATAGAATGGTATTCAATTCTCTTTTATTTGGTAGGCGGGCTTCATGAAAATTCGACGCAAGGCGATTGTACTCATGAAAACCGCCTTGCTTTCTCCATTCGCTCGACATATTGCGCATATTTTTTTTAGAAAGGAAACCAAGAAATCAAGAATTAATATCGAATAGAAGAATTTATTATTACATCTTCAAAATAAATCTTATTAATCAATAATTCATCAATTTTGTAAATTTTTCATCCAATAATTTATTTAAAATTCAAAATTGAATTTTTCAAATTGTTCTTTTTTTGCATAAAAAAATCATAATTTAAAAAGGGGCACAACGGTTCGTCCATTTGACTTTCTCATTGATAACTTTCTCATCACTCTGACGGAATAGGCTCCATCCCCCTATCTGCTCTCTCTCACCATTCGAGGAGTAACGACAGTCAGATTTTGAGAGTCAGCGCAGAGGGAAATCCAGACACTGTGATAGATATGATAAGCAATGGTGGTGCGCATGGCGCACTGACAAAATGTAAATGGCATCATCCATCTAAACGCCCGACAAAAAGGCACTCGGACCAACTGTCGACTCGGCGATTACAGGATCGATTAAACCTAAACTACCCCTTCGCTCTCGTCCGACGATCTATCAAGTCCCACGTGGACATACGATTCTCTTTTCCACTTGGACACGGTCGTATAAGCCCCCCGCCCCCCTCCTACACACCATCCCACGGTAGTCTCCCACACTTGAATCTCGACGAAAATAGATTTTTTTTTAAGATGTCGAATTCTCTCACGAAAACGAAAATTCAGGACTGATGATTTTTTCTATTGGAAAGATAGGATTGATAATTTTGATCAAACGTTTTTGAAAAATTGATGGGTGAACCTATCTCATCTGATAGCCAGGGAAATTTCAGCTGAAAAACTCAATATGATGACCCATTTTGCCCCATTATGAAATCTTTTGATTTTTGGAACTTTGATGTGGGGCAAAATGGGTCGTCATATTGAGTTTTCCAGCTGAAATTTCCCTGGCTCTTGGGTGGAGGTTTCAATGAGGAATTATGAAAATTTTATTGTCACTGAAAATTAAGTCATTTGTGAAACGGGGCAAGTCGATTTTGACTGTTGGGCAGTTTTTAATGAATATCTCGGTATCTAAGACAGATGGCAAAATCTTAGTTAGGACCTTTTTTGTTGAGCGAGTTAGGAGCAACAAATAAGGTTGTTATGAAAAATTCGTTATCTCGCTTAGATTCGGAGATATTTCTGAAGAAAAATTGAGGCTTTGTAATCGTTCAAGTTTAAGTTTTGAATTTTTTGTGTGCATTCAGTTATTCGCTAATGAGTGGATGGAATTGAATCGTTTTTTTCCAGTGTAGCTATTATTGAGCCCTATCAGTCACTATTAATTAAAATGTAATTCATTGATAATTTTTTTGATTTTCGAATTTTTTCGAAAATCGGTTGTCCCACGATAACTAAAAAAAATATTCTGAATTGATTGAATGATGACTTAAAAAATTTGTTTGGATGTCCTTTTGACTGAGTTCGAAGATGAAGGCGATAGTAATAATCGTTATTTTGATTTATTTGAAAATTTGCAAAAATTTTGTTTTTTTTTCAAAATCAGAATTCCGGGGATATCTTTGAATATCATGCTTCAAATTAATTCAATCATAGCTTAAAATGTTTGTTTTAATGCCATTAAGTCGAAGTTAAAAGATGATTCGATAGCTATGTTGGTTGATTTGATTTTTCTGATGATTGTTGAAAATTTCGAATATTTCATGAATTTCCCTGAAAGTGAGCTTTCCGATGGTTTCTTCAAACGTGATGTTTCAAATTCATTCAAGTACGTATAAATAAAAATTTTCTACTAACATTTTATCGAAGACCTGAGGGGAGAGATAGTACCGTAAAAAAGACAATCGGTTGTACAGAAGAAAGGGATAATAAGAATAATGATGATGAATGTTATATTCAACTGAGTTGAAAATCTCACAAAATTAGTTGAAAAGAAATCTGATTCAATTTAATAAAATGAAATAAAAAATTAATTATACATGATAGAAGGAAATTATGTGCAAAATAATACATTGCTAATTTATCAGCAAAAATAACTCTAATGCAATAAAAGCGCAATTTCCCACTTGTTTCTCAAAATTCTCCAACGAATTTTCCCATTTTTCCCAAGGTGCACCTCTAATCCTTTCCTCATATTGCAATTAATCCCCTTTCCTCCAGCTCGCGCCCCCTTCGAATCCTTTCCCACCCCGAAAATATCTTCAACCCCCAAAAAAGCGAATCGACAATTTTTTCTCCCAAAAAAAAATTGTTTTTCTCGTTTACTCGTACCTGGTGGAAAAATAGGGGTTGAAATTTGTCGAAGAATGGGAATTTCTGAAGGGTTTACGGGTATCTGTGTTACCCCACCTGCCACAGATATTTTTTACAATATTTTTTTCCTGTTTTTTTTCGTCGAGGGGATACGCGAAAAATTTCAGGGCAAAATTGGGGGGATGAGGAGAGAATAGGATGAAAGGGGCGTGGATGGGATCCTCTACATGGCGTTTTGTGCCCAGTGACGCGTGATACCAACGATGCGGCGTGCCTCAGTGTCGACTAAACCAATCTTTGGCTTAGTTCGCTCACGCGTGTAACATCGTAACCATTTCTCGTCATCCCCCTTGGTTTTTTCGTTTTCTTTCAGGGCCCCGGTCCGTACGGGAGATGTTCCCGTCGATTTGCTGAATTATTCCGGCCTTTTTGCGGTTCATTACGATTATTAGGGACCAATCCATCGGTTTTTAATCAGTTTTCAT